TAACAAGACTATACCTCGTATTTTCTTTACATCACACAAAAACAATTTGCGACACAAATGATTCAAATGAAAATAGTTATTTTTATTTTGTCAAAAGACATTTCGATACAAAAGGGCATATTGGGATCCATAAGTAAATCACAAGTACAAACTTTAACCAGAATGAAGGAAGAAGAAAAAAACAAAACAACAAGATTGTTAAGTTTCTCGATAAGCCAGCTGAGTACAGCAACTTAGGTCTGCACTTCGTTCACTTCTGTTCTGTTAAGCCACATCATTTTTTAAAGATTTGTCAGTAGATCTGGATTATTTTATTTTGTACTCTAAGGTGACTCCAACAGAAAGAAATTTGCCTTTCAAAATGTGCATTTTATAGTGTTATAAATCTAGGATCAAATGTCATTTCATGATGAGTTCAATATAGCCCATTGTTTCAGAAAAATCCCACTTGTGTCTTTATGCGTGCTTTGAATCTTACAATTGCAAAAGATTTGAGTTTAAACTGAAGGTGCAAAGTTTTTCAAACAAAAATCAAACAGATTCTACATACAACTAGCGGAAAATCAGGACGCCACACATTAAGATTTCCTGATCTGAATATTTTTAGGGACTTACTGCTTTACCTCAGCAAGGCACTTGCTGCATTTGTCCTGTGAAGCGGGGCGGCGAGCACAATAGATGGGAGCTGAAGTCCAACACGGAGACGAAACGTGTTACATCATCTGTTATAAAAGGAGTCTAGTTGCTTGTAACAACAGTTGAAAACCTCTCAGATGGTATTTTGAAGATATACGGAAACAAGACAGCAGTTACAACATTTTAAAACATTTGGATGAGACTGAGGCACCCAAAGGCTACAAAATACTTCATGTACAACCTTAGAACAGCAATGTTGCCTGCAACATGACAAAAACTTAAATCTGAACTGTAAGTAAGTTACAGATCAATCAATCAACAACAAAACGAAAAAGACTTCTCTTTTTCAAATTTTGGCATCACACGCCAATTCAAAGGTTGCACATGGACAACAGCTTAAGGCAGGAAAATGCACTGAGTAGAAAACATGGCAAAAATCAAAAAAATGTGCTACGAATAAGAAGCTAATTGACAAATAGCACATTTAGAAATTAATGATTTGCATGGATTTCCAAAATAAAAGTCCCTTCCTGACAGAAAATAGATCAAAAAAATTTTTTGTACCCTTTTTAAATAAATATTAAATTCCAAAAAATAAAAACAAAATGTGCATTTTCCACACACATGCACCTGCACACACAAAATCCAATATTTAAAGAATGACAGGGGGAAAAAAATGTTAGCTTACATAACTTAGGACGAGAAAATACGACAGACATTTCTAACTACAATGATCATCTCATACTCTTGAGTACATGATGTGAAAATGTCTGTTATTGCCACATACTTCTGAAAATCAATATGGTTTCCTTAACAACAAAAAAAGTGAAAAAATAAAACAAAGTAGCACGTGCAGTGAAGCCGGTGTGACCGTTGCAGAAGACACACAGAATCGATCACTCGCACCTAAGATAAGATGTACCACCCTGTTGACCTGACTGGGTATGGATTTAAGGCATGAACATCACAAACAACTTTCTGAACTGACTCGATGTGCATGTACTGAACAATAACAGGATGCGCCTGCTCTGGACTCCTTTCAAGAATCCTTCCTGGAGTCGTCACTGCTTTACACTGATTGGATTGGTAAAAGTAAAGCTCCAGCTGTCTTTTGATTCACCCAGGACGACAAACAAACCACACTGAATGCGTTCAGAAAACAACGACTAGTTTGGGAGGTCCGGGGTTCGGGACCTGCTGGAAGTTCCTCCCCACCTACACGACACAGACAGTCGGGTTGTTTCAGGAACTTCCATTTGCAGACATCCGGTGAACTCACTTGAACCTACCTACAGCTAAAATATTTAAACGACAATTTTTTAAAACACACACCTTTAAAAATCTACCATTAACCTACGTAACGCCCACACACCTTTGCATCAAAACAGTTGATTTAAGACTTTGCTCTGCTCCGAACACCTGAGACTATGGCTAAACGCTTAGCTAACTAATAGAGAACAAATCAGTATTAGTTTTTACCCACCTGGTTTCCTGCACACTGACAAAACATACCTTAAGTTTTCAGGCTAAGTTCACATTGATCCTTCAAAGCGGTCATTTTTTTTTTTGTCATGCAGTGGAGTTTCTATCTTTGCCATTTTCATACTTTAAAGCGCTTGACTACTGTGCAGATGTTTTATTTACAAAAAAAAGACATTTAAAGTGTCGTGGTAAATCTTTTACCATTTTTTAAGTTCCAGTTTCCCACAGTTTTAGTTTGTGTTAACAACAGTAACACTGTATCCAAATCCACTGACTGTGGTAGAGTTTGGGTCTGTGCAAATCTAATTTGGAGCTCACAATGAAGCCATGTTACAGGATCCAGTTCTATCACGACTCCAGTATTTTAAACCACATTATTAAAAAGGGAAAAGCCTTTTAGATTTGGGTTTTTAATGATCGCTGTGGGTGTGAAAGAAAAATATTAAACTACACCGCAACGCCAAAATGCTTCTGTAAAGCCCAGCTGGCCTCACTGAAGCAGCTTTGGGCTAAAAGTCCTGGACGCGTGCGGAAGTTTCTCGTTTAGTCCGAGCCATCTGAGGAACAAACCTGAAGAGGTATAACATGTCAGTGTTTAGGAAACCAGCCCTAAGAGTCCCAACACCACACACGCAAACACACACACACACACACACACACATACACACACACACACAAAACACCTGCACAATCCGCTTGGGAAAAAAACATCAAACACGAAAACCTCACAAGGTACAAAATATGAAAATAACATTCATATAAATAATTTAAATAGCTATTCTAAAGCTAAACTCTTGGTCTAAAACTTTTGAATGGCCAAAGAGAAGTGCTAATGATATGCTGTACAATTTAGGGGGAATTATTTGAGATTTTAGTTAGGGTGGTATTTCGGGGAACACAATTAAAACAATACACAAAACATTTCTCCAAACTCCCACAATGCAAACACTACATTTTTGATAATGATGTGTCCATAAAATATTGATTCCCATTCTTTTTTTTCTTCTTTTTTGTTTTAAAGGAGCTCCAGATCACTGAGGAGAAGGCCTGAATTTATAATCATTTGCCCACACGCTCCTCTTCTTTTGTTTTTTAACTTCTAATCGTCCCCCAAAACTTGTGACAGGTCACCAAAGTCACAATCAAACAGTTCACTGATGCCTTCATGGTCCTCTAGTCCATAGTGGTAGTCGTGACTGTGAGGGGGGGACAAGTTGATGAAACCATCCAATGGGAGAGGAAGGCCCTCTCCATTCAGGAAGTCCGTAGAAGAGAGCGGTGAGAGATCAAAATCAGGTAGGTCTCCAAGGTTGGAGAATGGGTCGCCTCCCAGGATGGATTCTGTCACAGAAAGAGAAATGTAAGAAATAGTAAGAGATTAAAGAGAGGATTAAAGAGCTTCAGCAACTTACAGTATAAGATCAGTGAAAATTATTTCAAAATAAATCATGAAAAGCTCAAGAATAAAAAATATGGAGCTGGAAATAAGCACAGTAAGTCCATTACCATGATCAAAACCAAGCTAAAGACCATAAATAAAAGAATTTATTCTTAGTTTTGCATTAGGTACCAGTGTGCATAATATTTTATCTATGGGAGTCAGGAACACTTCAGCAGCAGTGCCTCAAGCAAAGCTTTTTCCACTGTAGACATTTTGACGTGGCACAGCAGGAAGAGGATGACTGCATTCTACAAGTACTGATTAATGCAATTAAAGCCACCTGTTTGATGACACAAAGTGTCAGCAGTGAAAACAGTGTCTGCATTTAAAAGAAGGACTCAAGAGATCCCACAAACACTAGGGAGGCAGGCACGGGTTCAAGTGTTGCATCTACCTTTTCATACCCTTAAAAGTGAAGATGCAGTTCACTTTTTTACCCGAGATAAATATACATCTGCATAGCAACCAGCAAGCAATTTCCAGCAATAAGTCATCAGCACAAATGTTCATGTCCACACCAACTAGCTAGCTAGAAGTTGATTTTTTTTCAAGCACTGCAGGTAGAGCACGACAGTGTTGTAGTGTCATTGTGTCACCTTCACTGTTAGAATTTAATATTATGTAAAGTCAGAGGTGTTGCAAGTTGAAAATGTTGATAAAATGCAGTAGCTAGCTAGAACAACAATCAATGTCAACTGTTGCAAATGCCATTTCTAGTAAATACACAACTCGCTCCGACCGACACAACAACAAAATGTTGAAGGTCTCATATTACAAGACTAAGTGTCTACTATTACAAAAAAAAGTGTTACAAAGTTTCTGAACTGAGCCAGACTAAATGTATATATTGGGATAATTGGTAGTAGTTTTAATTTATTCTTACTTTGTCAAATCTGTAACCGTAATTAAAGCAGAAATCTAAGCTTCATTTACCTTTTTGGGGTTTTAGCACTAAAATGTGTTAATTTTACAATAATGATTACAGGATGTAGTTATGCTTTGCTGTGTTAAATTCTACATCAATATGGACAATACTATGGGAAGGATTATCATCATCTATATAGCTTTTGGGAACCCTATTATTATAAAACTCAAAGCCTCACAAGTTCTGTATAATAGCTCAGAACAAACTGTGACATCATGTCAATGTTACATGTTCACTGTTGACATTGTGTTTATGTTAATGTGTTCCTGTATGTTTCTAGATACATTCTGATAAACTATTTTTAGTGCAGTGGCACTTTATGAGACGTGGAGTGTGCCGCCATCCATATCTGCCTGTGCTTCAATACTTTGTCTTATACACTGAATTAGAGATGGCACGATACCACTTTTTTATGTCCGATACC